TGAATTTCATCTGATCTGACTAGATGTACAGTACTAGCATGGTATTCAAAGTGAATCAGGGTCCTATGCGTCACATGCAGTGGATCAAACATGCAGATATGGATGCAGGTGGCCATCTAAACCCGTTTCAAATGGGGAAAGATCAATCTGCTTTTCCTCTGTGTCATTCCTCTAGGCTGCCTGGACATACATTCAAAGTAAATCACGCAGGCTACTTGAGAGTGGTTTTATGGCTTGTACTAAATGTCTTTGTGCTTAGCAATGCATTTGTGTAATGCTTGTCAAAGAATATGGATGTTCTGAATCTGAACAGTTTCACGAGGCTCTGGCGTATAGTCCGACAGTGAAGTGCAGAGCCATTCAAAACTGAATTGAGAATACTTTTTAAATTCCAGTTTAAGAAATTTGAATTGAGAAAGCAAGCAGGATATAATTTGAATGTAAGGATGTAGAATACATTTTTTTACAAGAAATATCAAGACCATCTTTGAATGTAGGCTTGACAAAGCTTGTATAAAAAAATCATTCTATTATGCTGATTTGGTGCTCAAACATTTTTTCTTATTATGTTGAAAACAGTTGTGCTGCTTAATGTAACCGTGATACATTAGGATTACAGAAATTCATTTGAAATAGAAATCTTTTGTAACATTACAAATAACTTTACTGTCACTTTTGATCAATTTAATGCATCCTTCCTGAATAAAAGTTCTCGTTTCTTAAAAAAGCGCTTACTGAACCAGAGTTATTAAAGTTAACTAAAACAATAAAACAATATTCCTTTAACTGAAAAAAATTTAATAAAATACTTGTTTTATTTCAGCCAGTTCAGCAACATTTCTTATTTTAATTTAGTTTAGCTTGATGTACTAAAATAACTAAAACTGAAACTTCAATAAAAAATTTGTAAAAACAGATATATAAAAAAAAATTATCAAAACAACAAAAAATACCAAAATAACTCAAACTTTGGCTAAAAATAAAATAAAAACAGAACATGTAAAAATAAAAGCTAATTAAACTTGCAGTATAAATAACACACACACACAATTATATTAAATCATATTGAATTTTAAATGAAAGATTGTGTATATTCTAAGCATTGATACTATCATACATTGTCCATGACGGTATTTAGATTAATGTATATTGTTGTGACCTCATTTCTGAGTGCTCCATCTTTTAAATGATTCCACCGGTTCTAATTAACAGCAGCAATCCACAGTCCGTTAGACACAGCCTAACACTTTCATTTGTCTGCGTGTCTTGAAATGCCCATCACAAACTTGTTAGTCACAGCTCCTGACTTTTTCAAAGTAATATGATGACCAGAATTCCCATCAGGATGGGCAACCAGCCATGGCACGCTTTTAGCTGCTGCGCCAAGGGTCACAACCATCAACTGCACATGTGCTATGTGAGCAATGCCGTCATACTTTCATTTATGCAAGAACACAAGAGACCAAATCTTGGTTCTTTTTAGAAATGGTCGGAGTGCTATTACTACCTGACCTGGTGAGCACATGTTTACTGAGATGAGAAACAGTTGCATGATGGATCCATTATCAGTGACCTTCTATAGCACTAGAAGTCTCAGTTGTGTTGTACATTAGAGGACGGATATATGTTTAATAGCCCTCAGCCATAAGAAACCCGCTGAGGGATGAAGACAGGAAGGTCATTGTAGAACTTTGTAAATGTGCTTCTTTGTGTGAGAAGTTTGGAGAATGCATAGACAGAGCACTTGGAAACAATGTTCCTTCTAATTTATGTAATGAAGTAAAACCTATTTCTGTCAGGCAGGCGTTTTGAATGCTTTTGGTATAAGCACCCACATATTGTGAAATGGAGCATAAAGTAACATATGGCATAAAAAGATTCACATTCTCATGCGTAGATTACTGAAATCATGTTGAATGTCATGACAACAGTACTTGTGTTTTACCAGTCGCCCACATTCACGTAAATGCAACTGCCGGTCTGAGCAGTTAACATATATGCAAAAGGAGACACTAGTTATGATACTCCATTACATTATATTGTCCTTTTTAATGCTGCTTTGAAACTACGTATGTATGCTGTGTATTTATGTGCTGTCTGAGTGAAACAAAATTAATCACTAGTGATTGCATCCTGGATACATGAGCCATCTTGGAGAGATTATTGTGGATTCTCTTTCTTTCTTTATGTATGTATTTATTTATTTGTTTATTTTGTACTTCTACACAGTTGTTTGGCTGCTAACCTGAATAATTCCAATGCATTTCCAAATATATACTTAATTTTATTAGGGATATATTAAATGTATGCATATAATGTAGAATGTATTGGTAAATATTTATTGTATTGTAATTCAAATACTTTCATAACACTGTTAAATTTAATCTAAATATTAAAATGAACTTTAGTTTTTTCATAATGTACATTTAAATGCTGTGATGCCTATATTGACTAACATTTAAAACAAACAATTTATTATTATTATTGATTAATTTATTTATTTGGTCATTTACTTGTTTTCAGCCATAATATGAAAATAATTATTGGCTTACTAGTTTTGCATTCCTGAATTTCATATACATGCACACATCCAAACATATTGACTGAACTTATTTCGGGAATTTTGATTGTTTTAACTTTTTCTGGGAAGTTAAGTGGATCTCTTGAAGACTTTTAGCCCCGAAGATGCAACTATTTAAGCTTTAACACAAAAGGTTGTTTTTTTCCCCCCAAGATAACTTTTAAATTAAGATCACAAGAAAAATAAGTCTTCTCAAGTAAACAAGAGAACAAAAAAAGTATTGCATGGCATCTGTGGGTTTCTGTATTTTTGGAAGTCATTATTTTTTCAACTCCCTGTTGTGTCACTATAATATCTCTGTACTGAAAATTAATCTTTGCTGCGTATTTCCACAAACATGATTCCTCACAGCTTCAGTCCACACTGAAAATCAAAGCAAAGGGCAGATGGACTCCTGTTGAAACACAGCTCATTCACGTAGCTCTGATTCAAGAAATCTCCAGCTTTCCACACATTTTAGAGTTTGCCTTCTGCACAGTTGCAACATTGCTGGGAACTGTACAGCTGTCAAATCACAGGTGGATGATGCAGTATGAATATTCCCCCGGTCACACATCTGCAGTTCTGGAATATGATAGAAGACATGCAGTTCTTCATTTGCCACCGTGCCAAAAAATGTGAATACTAATGTGCCGTGTGTGCAAACGTGCACACATACACACACACAGGTTTGACGACACTGACCTTCATCTCCTCTGGGCAAGGTAGATGGTAGACAGCCATTTATCTTTTATTCATTCTGCCATTTCTAAAGTAGGAAGCTTTCCTGCCATGGTGGCTTGTCAAATAGAGGCCATTTTGTGATGTGTGGCACGCTATAGCTGATCAGCACACACACACACACCAGGCTCAGACATATATATTCATATATCTCAGTATATCACACACACACATTGCAGTTAGTGGTGCAGTCATGTGGAGATGAGCTGTGACTGACTTGACATCTGTCAGTGAAACTACTCTGACAGTCTTTAAAACCAGCCGCTTTTCCTCAACCTCCTTGTTTTTCCCTCTCTAGCTTTCATTTCTGCTTCTGCCTTTCATTATCCATCTCTTATGCTCCAGAAACAACATCGGTATTCTCACAAGAAGCCACACTGCACCACCTGGGCTACATATAATGACAAAAACATCTCAAATATTGTCAAATGCTTTTTGACAAGACTTCCCAGCCGTTGTTTCTAGCAACTGTTTCAAGTCCCTAACACCTTTCCAGAGCTTTCTCTGACACGATTGCTAGAATAATCCACAGAGTCTGTCCTCCTCTGCCATGTTTGCGTAACACAGAGCGATTCTTTTTCTGCAACCCATTAGCATTGTCACGACAGCAGTGTAGTCTTTTGTCATTTTTGATCGGCATCGCAACATAGCATAGTTATGCAAATAGGTTGCAGCAAGTAACTGTCTTCATGAGTGAGTCATTGAATTGTTCATTCAAAAGATTAATTTAAAATGCTGATTCATTCAGGAATGAAAACACGTGACTGTAACGTCGATGTATTCCGAATTAGCAACTTTTGTTTGGAGCCATGCAGCTGTTCTGTTGAGGCTTTGTTTGTAGCTATTTGCATTTGTGGAACAAAATCATACAAAGTAACTGGCTTAATATTAACTTGAAATATATACTGTAACTGTTGTATGAAATATATGATGGCCGTTTGTTTTATATGAATATCAGTACAGCAGTTGTTGGACCACAGGTAATCAAAGTCGTGCCAATGTTTATAAAAAAAACTGTGGAAAAAAATAGTACTTTTACACTATATGTGTATTATTTAGTCATCATTGAAACCCTGTTTCTGAAAAGCAAAATTAAAAGGTTTCTTTAGATGAAATATAAATAAACCTATAATGTGTGTGTGTGTGTGTGTGTGTGTGTGTGTGTGTGTGTGTGTGTGTCTGTGTGTGTGTGTGTGTGTGTGTGTCTGTGTGTGTGTGTGTGTGTGTGTGTAAAAAGCAGAGATTCAGTGTTTTTAATGTTTACAGTCAAGAATACAGTTCTGTTGAGGATCAGTATTGACATCTATTTAGATTTCATTGTCATTTTTCATTCCTGAGTCTAGTAAAACATAGTGCTAATAATGCCAAGTTCTAGGGTTTGATTCCTAGGGAATGCATAATGATAAAACACATAACTTGAATGCATTATAATACGTTATTTGATGAAATTGCCTGCCAAATGTATAAATACCAATGCCTTTGAAAATCTTCAAGTTCTTCCGATTCTTCTTGTGAGATCCACAAAATCTGCAAATTCTCATCATTTATTTACATGACAGACATGTTAGATTCCTCACATGGCCATTTTTGAAAAGGGCTCCATATTGCCACAGTATAGATTAATTAGTAATGCTGCAGAACAGCGAATTCATCTCCATGTACCAGCATCTGACCAGCATTTCTCTCCCACTCTTCACAGATGATAACTGTCGTCTGGGAGATTATAAAAAATTGAAGACCAAGATGTTGGACTTACACGCTCAGAGGTACTTGACCCCCGGTAACCATGGCAGCCACGAGAACGATATGGCAACTAGGAAGCATCTGGTGGACATGATGTTCAAGCGCTTTGACGCAGATGGTAATGGAAGAGTTGACAGCAGTGAGCTCTCACAGGTAAGACTGAACAAGAGTGTGACAAAATCAATCTCTTTCTTTTCTTTCACCCGTTTAATTGACGTTGCAATTAGGTGCCATTTCTTGACCTTCTTAACACGCGTCTGTCATGATGTTTTTATGATGATGATTTTATCTAAATAACCATTTTCAAACCAACAGAAGAGGTCAATTTTCAGATAAAAGAGAAAAATAGAGATGTTGCAAGGTTAAACAGGAAGGATGGATTGGGGCCACAATGTTCTGGGCCTGTTGAGTGAGCCTTTAGTGCCTTTGCTGCATTACTCTTTCATGCACGTTTTTATAACGTGCAAATGAAAACATTTGGATGTTTATGATATATTGAATATTGAGTGCTTTGTATACATGTTCTTAAACCAATTATGCTTAATAAGCCAACAATACACGTGATCATGTAAACACATAAAATCATTTTAATTTAGAGGAGAGAATATATCTCAAACTTTGACTTTGACCTAAGAAATTATAAAACAAAATGTGCTCAGTCATAGAATCTTCAAATATGAGCGGTGAATGAGTCTGTACGAGACATTTTGGAACATTCTGTGGTTTTTATGCTTTATTTAACATCACTGCTCACATATAGAATACATGGATGCTTACGTTTTAATGTTACCACCTGGGAATAATCAAATTTTTTAATGTGGTCTTGTAAATGAGGTTTACTTGCATTGCCAGGTTATTGATTTGAATGTAAATGGGTAAATTGGGTTATTTTAGTGAATTGATTTTTGGCATTTATCAGCGTATTGGTGTGCATGCACTGTAAATGTGCTGATTTTTGTGAAAATGTGCTAAATTAAATATGTTGCCAAGGAAACATCTACCTGCTCACATATAGATGAGGTTTTATTGAAAATAGAAAAGAGATGAAAGGGGAAACATTTAACTAATATGGGTTTATGAGTGTACAGAATAAATAAAAACCCGTATGGCTTTCTTTCTTCTTTGGAACACAAAATAAGATATTGTTAAGAACTAAACAGTCTCGGTTGCAGTATTTTATGAAAAAAAAATACAATGAAAGTCAACAGGAACTGAAACTGTTTGGTTATCTTTAAAACATCTTCTATTTTACAGAAGAAAGAATCTCATACTGGTTTGGAGTGAGTAAATATTGAGTAAATCATGACAGAATTTTCATTTGTGGGTGGACTGTCCCTTTAACATATGGGGTCCTATCATACACCCGGCGCAAGGCGCGGCGCAAGTGTTTTTGCTAGTTTCAGCCCGACGCAGTTCCCATTTTCCCATCCTGCGCCGCGTTGTTTAAATAGCAAATGCATTTGCGCCCATTTGTGCGCCCATGGGCGTGCTGGTCTGAAAACAAGGTGTTCAGGCGCATTGCTGGCGCATTGCTATTTTGAGGCAACTGAAATAGACTGTGCCATTGACCAACAAAAGCCTGGTCTAAAGTCTGGCACAATATGTTTTCTTTGTTATTTAATGACATTGGTAATATGTGCCTATAGGCGGGTGCACAATGCGCATAAACTTTGCTTATTACACACACAGGGACGCGCAGTAGCACACAAACATTTTTAAAAATGAAAAATTACATTCCACCATGTAAATAGCAAACCCGCCATGGCACGAGCGAAACTTGCTTTTAAAGGGAATGGGAGATGACACTCTGATTGGTTTTTTGCATGTTACGCCCAAAAAACACCCATTACTCATTAAGAGAATAGGGACAACCCGTTTAGACCATGCACCCGGGCGTGCCAATCGTTTTCCCGTCGTTAAACTAGCAAAAGTGGATTCGGACACGCCCTAAGTGCACCTGCGCCGTGCGCTTTAGACCATGCGCTTAGATTGTTAAAATAGGGCCCTTTAAGTAAAAAAAAAAAAAAAAAAAATGTTGAAGCCCAATCAAAGCCATTGTTCAAATGCATGTTGTTTTGTTTACAGTTATACGGTATCTGATGCTTGAATCTGATATATTGTGAGAATGGCTGGGGATCACTTTTAGCCATGTTTCATTGCATTAATTCAAAAACCGTAATGAGCAGGCGAGCTTGTCTCCTTTTTTAATAACTGGCTCATAGACTGATCCCAGGTCAGCTGTGCTTTATCTTGTCCTGCGGCAGAAAGATTACACCTGTCCATAGAGATACGGTGCACAGCAAAATGTGCAAAATATGAATTTATTCATATTTCTCCAGAGAGAAAACTCTGAACACACTTTCACTCACGGTTACAGGCGTGAGCCATTTCAATTTCATTGTGCAATATTTTCATGTCATTTGCATATTTCTTCATTCTCAGTGGAAGAAGAATAGATCTCTTTTCATGCATGGCAGATCGAAGACAATGTATAAAGTGAAAATTCTGACCGGCCCTGAATACAAAAGCTTGGCCTTTTGACATGAAGCTAGCGCAGGTCGAAGAGGTGATAGAGAAATGGAAACATAGTGAAATGCCTTCCAGCAAAATCAAAACATTCTGTCCTAATAAAGCAATTAAACTCCATTAGTATTCTGCTCAAGTATATTTTCTGGTACACCTGAAATGATCTTCATGCAGAAAGTGAAGGGACAGTCCACCAACCCTTTCTGACTTATTGAATGAGTTATTTATTTATTTATTTTTACAACCATTGATGTCATATCGCATGTTTAGTGATGTATTTATATTAAAATAATGTATTTAATACATTTTGTACCATGCTGGAAAGTGCTTAAAACTTAATGATTTTAAATGTAGTAGTTCACCAAAAAAAACATTGCTCATATTTTGAGCAATGGTTTAAAAGTTAAAACTATGGGTCCCACTATATATTAAGTGACCCTACTACCTGTGTACTCGCATAGTAACTAGATGTGTACGTAGTATGTAACCACAATGTAAGTACACATTGGTACATAGTATCTAGAGCTATACTATTTCTGTAACTACACACATGTAACAGCCCTCCGAATGGTTTGTGTATGTACATATGTGTAACAGGACATACTGTATATAACTACATTTTGTATCAACAACATGTATAAGAGTAATTGGACAATTTGATCCAGGGGGTGGAGATGGGTAGGTTTAGGGATATGTAAAGTGGGAGGAGTTGGATCTCAAGTTGGTGGAGTTGGTGCACCACTGTAATACCAGTGTGACATGGTAACTCCTCAGGAACTGTCCACTTAATATAAAGTGTAACATTCTGGAAACCAACCACAATTTATATGTAAAGCCTAACTTACTGGCCGCTGCTGTGTAACATCAGAGTAATTACAAGGTAAATCTAATATAAAGTGTAACACTTTCTTTACCAAAAAGTGCTGTTAGTCCTGTTACACATTTGTACTTTCATTACCAACAAGTGTTGTTACCAATGTCGTTACACATTTGTACTTACACATACCATTCAGTGGGTTGTTACATATGTGTAGTTACACAAACATTACAGCTGTAGATACTACGCACCAATGTGTACTTACACTGTGGTTACATACTATGTACACATCTAGTTACTATGTAAGTACACAGGTATTAGTCAACAGGAACTGAAACTGTTTGGTTATCTTTAAAACATCTTCTATTTTACAGAAGAAAGAATCTCATACTGGTTTGGAGTGAGTAAATATTGAGTAAATCATGACAGAATTTTCATTTGTGGGTGGACTGTCCCTTTAACATATGGGGTCCTATCATACACCCGGCGCAAGGCGCGGCGCAAGTGTTTTTGCTAGTTTCAGCCCGACGCAGTTCCCATTTTCCCATCCTGCGCCGCGTTGTTTAAATAGCAAATGCATTTGCGCCCATTTGTGCGCCCATGGGCGTGCTGGTCTGAAAACAAGGTGTTCAGGCGCATTGCTGGCGCATTGCTATTTTGAGGCAACTGAAATAGACTGTGCCATTGACCAACAAAAGCCTGGTCTAAAGTCTGGCACAATATGTTTTCTTTGTTATTTAATGACATTGGTAATATGTGCCTATAGGCGGGTGCACAATGCGCATAAACTTTGCTTATTACACACACAGGGACGCGCAGTAGCACACAAACATTTTTAAAAATGAAAAATTACATTCCACCATGTAAATAGCAAACCCGCCATGGCACGAGCGAAACTTGCTTTTAAAGGGAATGGGAGATGACACTCTGATTGGTTTTTTGCATGTTACGCCCAAAAAACACCCATTACTCATTAAGAGAATAGGGACAACCCGTTTAGACCATGCACCCGGGCGTGCCAATCGTTTTCCCGTCGTTAAACTAGCAAAAGTGGATTCGGACACGCCCTAAGTGCACCTGCGCCGTGCGCTTTAGACCATGCGCTTAGATTGTTAAAATAGGGCCCTTTAAGTAAAAAAAAAAAAAAGAAATGTTGAAGTCCAATCAAAGCCATTGTTCAAATGCATGTTGTTTTGTTTACAGTTATACGGTATCTGATGCTTGAATCTGATATATTGTGAGAATGGCTGGGGATCACTTTTAGCCATGTTTCATTGCATTAATTCAAAAACCGTAATGAGCAGGCGAGCTTGTCTCCTTTTTTAATAACTGGCTCATAGACTGATCCCAGGTCAGCTGTGCTTTATCTTGTCCTGCGGCAGAAAGATTACACCTGTCCATAGAGATACGGTGCACAGCAAAATGTGCAAAATATGAATTTATTCATATTTCTCCAGAGAGAAAACTCTGAACACACTTTCACTCACGGTTACAGGCGTGAGCCATTTCAATTTCATTGTGCAATATTTTCATGTCATTTGCATATTTCTTCATTCTCAGTGGAAGAAGAATAGATCTCTTTTCATGCATGGCAGATCGAAGACAATGTATAAAGTGAAAATTCTGACCGGCCCTGAATACAAAAGCTTGGCCTTTTGACATGAAGCTAGCGCAGGTCGAAGAGGTGATAGAGAAATGGAAACATAGTGAAATGCCTTCCAGCAAAATCAAAACATTCTGTCCTAATAAAGCAATTAAACTCCATTAGTATTCTGCTCAAGTATATTTTCTGGTACACCTGAAATGATCTTCATGCAGAAAGTGAAGGGACAGTCCACCAACCCTTTCTGACTTATTGAATGAGTTATTTATTTATTTATTTTTACAACCATTGATGTCATATCGCATGTTTAGTGATGTATTTATATTAAAATAATGTATTTAATACATTTTGTACCATGCTGGAAAGTGCTTAAAACTTAATGATTTTAAATGTAGTAGTTCACCAAAAAAAACATTGCTCATATTTTGAGCAATGGTTTAAAAGTTAAAACTATGGGTCCCACTATATATTAAGTGACCCTACTACCTGTGTACTCGCATAGTAACTAGATGTGTACGTAGTATGTAACCACAATGTAAGTACACATTGGTACATAGTATCTAGAGCTATACTATTTCTGTAACTACACACATGTAACAGCCCTCCGAATGGTTTGTGTATGTACATATGTGTAACAGGACATACTGTATATAACTACATTTTGTATCAACAACATGTATAAGAGTAATTGGACAATTTGATCCAGGGGGTGGAGATGGGTAGGTTTAGGGATATGTAAAGTGGGAGGAGTTGGATCTCAAGTTGGTGGAGTTGGTGCACCACTGTAATACCAGTGTGACATGGTAACTCCTCAGGAACTGTCCACTTAATATAAAGTGTAACATTCTGGAAACCAACCACAATTTATATGTAAAGCCTAACTTACTGGCCGCTGCTGTGTAACATCAGAGTAATTACAAGGTAAATCTAATATAAAGTGTAACACTTTCTTTACCAAAAAGTGCTGTTAGTCCTGTTACACATTTGTACTTTCATTACCAACAAGTGTTGTTACCAATGTCGTTACACATTTGTACTTACACATACCATTCAGTGGGTTGTTACATATGTGTAGTTACACAAACATTACAGCTGTAGATACTACGCACCAATGTGTACTTACACTGTGGTTACATACTATGTACACATCTAGTTACTATGTAAGTACACAGGTATTATGGCCACTTAATATAAAGTGGGACCAAACTATGGTGCTTTTGTTTCTTAAAAACATGCAGCTTTTTACTTCACAAGACATAAATTGATGGACTTAAATGGACTGGATTATTGAAAGTCAGGTGAACTATTCCTTTAATACAAGATAAATACCAAGCCTTAAAATACATGGTACAAAATATTACATATTTGAATAAAATGGTCCAAAAACACCATAGTGAAATACAAATATATACATAAATAAATACATTTATTTTATGCTAAGTATACTACAAATATATTTACATATTGGTGTACTTATGTAAAACTACCCTGCAATTGTACTTTTGGTATACAAAACTGGTATACCTAAAGTCTGCTAAATTGGAACAACAAATTGTTGTACTCCATGCACTTTAATTACGAAAGTGCTGAGATCCACCTAAAGATATACTGAAATATATCTGATTGTGCTAAAGTGGAACTATTGCAAGCATACTTTAGATACACTTTAACTACCTTGCATTTAAAGACCGATATTATTCAAAGATCATACAATCATCATCAATAGTGACATTAAAACACATTTTAGGCTTAATCTTAAGAAATGTGCATTGTGCACAAGCAGTACTCAATAAAAAATTATAGTTTTTTTTAATCAGAAAGTCTTTTGAACTATACTTAGTATGAAATAAATGTATTTTAAATATATAACTTTTTGCTAGTGCATATTTGGATGCTTAAGACAGACTTTAAAATGTGTCCATCACTGCATTATCAAACTGCAAACAAATGATGCTCAAACTTCACTTTTCCAAGCCAATTTTGTGTTAGAAGTGTAAGAATTAAGCACGTGCCTAAAGCTGTTCTGAGGTTAACATTTAGCACGGTGAATCAGTTGTGTAGAGCCATTCATTATGGAAAACTTTTTTGACATCCCCTGTAGCATGCAGATCAAAGTGGTACTTTGACAAATTTCAGCATTTGAAAGTTTGCTTGCTTGCTTGCTTGATTTGTCTTCGAAATAAATGGTAAATCAAAACTGCCTATACCAAACAGGTCAAAGTGAGGGTTGCCAGTCAGTTTCTGAGCTGGTATCAAGTCTCTATAAGAGGATTAGAATTTGCAACAGATAATAAAAGGACAGGATTGAATCTGAACACACAGGTCTGGTTTTAGTAATAATAAAGGTTAGTTTGGGTCAGTCTTAGCACTGGCTATGAAAAAGCTTTCAGGAGATGGTCCTAAGATCATGTCTATATTATGTGGAGTTCGTATCATTTTCAGTAATACTTTGAATCCATTGGACACCAATTAGCAAAGTTAAGTATGATTGTTCATATGCATATGCTAAAGGCATTTTCAAAATCTTAACTGTAATCCACAGTGAATCTAACCCCTAACATTCATTATAAACAATCCATCCAGCTTTCTTTCACTAACTGTAATTACTATCAGATATTTCTGGCATGGATGAATGTATGATTGAACATTTTACAGTAATCCCTCATGTTTTCCAGCATAAGGCTGTTATAAAATCTTGCTCAGTTCTGGATGTTTGCCAGCTGACAGGATTCACAAAGTCTGATGCAGATAGGAATCACATCTTTAATTATTCAGAATGGCACACTAGAGCAGTGCTTTTGCTTCAGGATGGAGATTTTACAGACGTCATGTGGAGACCCAAGACAGCACCAAAATTGTGTAAACAAACATGCCCTTAAATTCGAACATCAACTTTTATTAGTATTACCGTGAGCTATATTCAGTGCACAAAAAGCATTTGCTTTGTTAAAGCATCATACAGTAGGTTCTGATTTGAATTTAATGATCTTTAATCTTGTTGTCGTGCAGGTCATCAAGCAGGAAGGTCTCAGCAGGACGGCATCAGAGTGCACTCTGTTCGATCTGTTCAAATATAACGACGTCAACGATGACGAACACCTAACCAGAGAGGAGTTCTACGCTGCTTTTGGTGAGTGTCTGGTTTTGATGAAGTGATGCTTAAAACATGGAAGTGAACAAAGCTGGGAGAACTTTTCTGCTGCATAATTAGCACTATCAGGGCTGGATGTGCCTTTAGTAACTATGACATGTACAGTATTTTCAGTGTCATTTGTTAATAGCACAATGGATAATTGCAGCATTTTAATGAAGAATCTCTGAGCACAATTTTAGTCTCGGTAACAGGCGTAAGCATTTTTTATTTCATTGTGCAATATTTATTATGTCATTTGAATATTTGTTCGTTCTCAGTGGAAGCAGAATAGTTTATTTTTCATTAGAAATTGGACTTTTGAGAAAGTTAATGATTCTAGTTCTGCGTCTGATTGGACATGATGAAAGTAATGACTTGCAGTTCAGTGAGTAAGTTGAGAGCCACTGATTTACTCAATGAATTAAAGGAATGGTTCACCCAAATACAGTATGAAATTTTGCTGTTAATTTACCCTCAGGCCATCTAAGATCTTTTTTCTTTAGTAGAACACTAAAGGTGACTTTTAGCTGAATCTATGATCCTTGTTGATTCATAAAATGCAAGTCAATTGACTCCAATTACTTTAAGAGTCAAAAAAGTAGGTACAGGAAATGTAAAATTAATACCTGCATCTCCTGATGATATTGGGGTCTTATGAAGCAACAACCGAGGACTACTATGTTTCTTGTGTTTGTACTATTTTGCAGCACCCTGTCTTTTTCTCTCATTATATTTAATTAGTCAGTAGTGGCATAGTGCCACTAGTGGTTCGAGATTTGGCCGGTTAGCGTAGTCTAGTTATCTAGATGCTGTAACTTCACCCTCTGGATGCAAAAACATCTTTCTGCATTGATGTCCATTCCAAAGTAGCCATGTATTCTTACAATGTGTTTTTCATTATTTGCTGTATTTTTTTTAAACAACAAATAAATTACACATTTCATTATATTATAATAGATGTTTTACCAGTATTGAGTTATTTTGAAGGTCTCTTAAAAAACATAAAACAGACTTTCACATTTTTCGTCTGCACTGCAGGTGGAAGAATGCAGGCATTAAATAACTGTGAACAGAACCAAAGATCATGAAATTCAGGTTCCAGTAAAAAATTACTATCTCTTATCCAAAACTGGTTCTTGGATCCCAGCCCTGCTCTTCATGGCAAGTTCAGACTATTGGCATGTCTTGTAATGAAGTTACATTTTTCCATTAGTCTATTCTACGGGGTCAGCGGCCTCTGAAATGGACTGTGACTCTGACAACACACTGTTAGAAAGTCAGATCTCGCGGTCACCGTAAAGGTGAATGGATCCTAATTAAGCTCTAATTGAAGTCTACACTCATATTTTTCAGTAAGCCACTGAACAGTGACGGCCTGAGTAAGATTTTCCTCTTTCGTGCACTCATTAACGGATTTGCTGAAGAGAAATTGAGGCACACTAATTAACTGCATGACTCAAGATGCAAGTAACATTTGTTATAGAGAATTTGTGTCAGCCTGGAAACTAAGTTATATTGCTAAAGTAGATGAATGCTCAGACTCAATGGATTGACTATAGGGATCAAAAGGGATAGAAGGGATAAAAGATGTTTTATGTTGAAGAGGTGGACATGGCTGACCTCACTGAGCTGAGACAGTCCACTGGTTAGCTTTATTTTTTAATGTTAATGTTTTTAAAGTTTTTATGCTCCCGAAGGCTGCATTCATTAAATATTGTGAAACAGTATTATGATTTAAAATAGCTGTTTAATAACTATTTTGATATATTTTCATGTAATTTACTTCAGTCTTTAGTGTCACATGATCCTACAGAAATCAGAAATATGCTAATTTGAACATTTATTATTATGCATGTTAAAAACCGTCCTGCTGGTTAATATTTTTGTCGAAAGTGAGTTTTTTTTTCAGAACTATTCAGTTAGTATTTGAAATAGAAACCTTCTATGACAGTTTAAAAGTCTGTCCTGTAACTTTTAATTCACTTAAGGCATCGTATCTGATTACTGACCCCAAACATTGAACAATATTGTATATTTTATATAAAAACACACATTTAACAAATAAATAAATGAAAATATAGAAATCCATCAATAATCAAGGACTTTTTTTCTTATTTAGGGCTTTTGCTCCTATATTCTATTTCTAGGCTCTTTGTAGAAACGCTTCATGGAATTTATATCCCAATAAAGAATAAATTAGTGTTCCCAATATAGATAAAAGCCTTGAGTTCTTGGTAATAAAATACAAACTCCCTATGGAAGGCTAAAACATCCCTTATGTCACAAGAAAGGACACTTATTGAAAGATTCTGAGTAAAAATAAGGCTTGCAGGCTAAATGTGGAAAAAAGCAGTGTGTTCCAACCTTTTACACTAACGTTCAACACGTCTGCTCCATCTCATTTTCCTTTTTAGTCTCATCTTCCTCTGACATTTCAATTTGACTCAATTTGCACTGACATTCAGCAAGGGCCGACACTTTTAACATGTGGTTCTAGAAGGGGTAAAAAAAAAAGACAATAATGCACTTGCAATAGAAGCCTTTTTGCAAGAATCCCACTATTACACACTGGGTTTTTGAGCATAAAGCAGCTTTTCAGACAGGAAGTAGGTTTTGGGATGAAAATGGCAACCTCAGTCTGCCCCCGTACCCATTCACTGATCTCAGCGGGAGTTTGGGTGAGATGGGAACAGGCCAAAAGGCAAAGAAAAAAAATGTATTGCTACTTTCACTTTTCTTTTAAACTTAAAGATAGAAAGATAACAAGACATTTTGTCGGACGCCTTCAGAGAGCATCTTCACACTGTCTCTATTCAGCTCCTGACACTTTGAACAAATGTTTTCTTTAAAAGTTTGAAGAATACTACTTTATAAACAGTGCATGTTTGTTGTACCAACAGCACTAGGGTTCATGCTGTGAGCTGCTGCTTTAGATACCTGCCACAGAGTGTGTGAATATGTGCAATTTACCCACAGATATAAGCTTCTCAGATTCACCTGATCCTGACTTGTTTTTCCATGGCATGGGCGCTTGTCAGTACGTTTTCTCAGTCCACTTCTACACTCATTGATCCTGTTCAGGGGCGTTCACACTGACAGCTGTAGGATATCAGACCGAATCAGACAATCTAAGATTTGGTCAAAACATGGTTGAAACCTGAGGAGCCCAAATTCCACAGAGGCCCAAGACAACAGGATGTTCATAAATCAGATCCTGGCCCCAAGCCTGAACCAACTAGCAGCTTTGAGTAGCTCACAGCATTTAAACAAAAGAACACTTATTGACAATTCCAAGGAGATTGTCAATTTTAGGGCAAGTAATCAAGATTAAATGGTCAAAGAGATGACCACATGACCCTCACGTGATAGTAAACGCAGTCACGAGCCCCGTAAATTGACTTCCCCCACCTCCAAATGCCCTTACTTATTAATGGTGGAGTTCCCTTTCAAATCTTAAATGATTTCCTTTGAGCTAAATTATTGACCTGTTTCCCTTACACAGCGATTTGCAGCATCGAAGCAAGTCCAAAAAATGTTGAGGTGAGAAAAGTGTACCGTTATGCAAATGAGCATTGATGCAATGTGGCAACTTTTGATTGGAGTAAAGGCAGTGATCTGTCTTCTGTGACATACAATAGTCAAGTGTAGACAAGATGGAGAGGTTAATGTTACTGTGAGCAATCTCACCATTCTGTGTAATTTGTCTCAGCCCACATACAGCGATATAATACAAAATAATGCAAATGAACTATATCAGAGATTGCCGGTATTCTGAGCGAGTTTGATTCATGCATTGACTCATTAATCTTGTTCATTATATTATGCATTGCAATTCATGCACAGACACTTTCCCTGCAGCCAAAAAAACTGATTAATTGCAATAATAATGTATTTTACAGTCAAATTAAAAATAAATAAATAATAATAATAAAAACTGTGGCCAATTATACAGCCCATCAATAATGTATTACAAAAAGGAGTCAATAATACAGTAACCTGCTGCCGACCTCCAAGTCAGAAATCAAGCAGCTATGTTCCTTCATCATTCATTGTGACCTTTGATCTGGCTCTGTCTGTGTTGCAAGAAATTGTGATGAGAGATTTGTAGCTGATAACCTGTAAATAACATTAATTATTTTTTGTGGTTTCAACAATAGTTTGTTGAATGAATCATTTATCATTTTAATTCACTTTAATAACTGACACTCTTGCATAATCTTGATCTGGGTGGTCTGGTTTGGGAGGCAAGTACACTATGGTTTTGTTTTCTTTGCTCTGATGGAGTTAGTACGCTTTGGTATGATAAGGAAGGTTGAATCTGGCCTGATGGGGTTTACTGATGTGTGAGTGAACAGAGCTTGTCAGCGCTGACTTGTGTTGTTCAAACTCTCCAGGTCTGGGAGTACATCAGTCACATGGGTATAGATCTCAGTCCTGATGAAGGTTGACAGGCCATGAAAGCATGAAACAGTCCAGTTTTGGTTTGGAGAGTCTCTGGTTTTTCCAGAGTAAGATGGAGGGCAAGAGAATCTAAAACCGGTATCTTATGCAATGTGTAGGTAAATTATACAGCCTTAAAACTTGCTAATTTCACTACTTCTAACTACATTATTGAAAGATGCTGTCTGGGTTCTTCATGCCTTCTTGATTCCATATTGCAACAATTAGCACATGGTCTATGAGAGGTTTTTGAGACATGCTAAATGTGTTTACTCAGTTTCCGGCACTTGCCTTTGGCTCTAGAGAGCATTTTCATTTCTCCTAAAGAGTTTGAGTAGTTCACACATTTAAGGCTAAATGTGTGGCTCGTTTATTCTGCTAAAGCATTTCACAAAACTGGGGCTTTCTAATGATGCCTAAAATGGAAATTTTAGTAAAAAAATTTGTATGTATTGTTTGGGAGCGTTTTGCAAGCAAACAGTGGGTTAAAAGGTCATTTTTCTGCTTTTGACCCTTGTTTACTCATGCTCCTACTTGTGATTGGTGCATCTATATGG